CTTGAAAAATATAGTACTAAAAAAAGGGTGTTTAATGTTAATAAAAATTCTGTTTAAAAGGAGATAATTAATAAATGAAGATGATCTGCGTCAAATAAGCTCTTTTTGTGTCGATGCTGAAATCTTTCTGTTTTCTGTTCAGTAGAAATGACGGCTTAAAAATAACATTCCGCTTTGAGCGGCTTCCCTGCTTCATCCCTTTTTAGAAGAAAGCTAGCTCTTCGGCACACGATTTAGAGCTTAAAAATGCAGACAAATACTTAATTAATAGCCTCTGGACCTCCCTCTTTCCAAAAAATCTATACACTGGGTTGTTCCTAGGGATGGTAAAAAACCGGTTTCTTAAAATCAATGGGAAAAAAACAGTTTTTTTCCGGTTTTTTTCCGAAAAAAACCGAAGCCAGTGGGAAATAACGATTTTTTGCCGTAATTTCGATTTTGGACCTCCGAAATGCCTAATTTTCATTGTAAAAGTGTTTTTAGCCACAATGGTGCAGTCTGGAGCGGTGTAGAGGTGGTTTGCGGGTGCGGGAGGTGGTGGAGGTAGAGTTTTACGAGTTTTAGTTTGCGACGTTGACACGTACTTCTTAGTTTTTCATAATAGACTGTAGGCAGAACCTCTGGTTGCTGCATAACTGTGTATGTGTAGGTATGTTGTGTTATTATTCTTTTTTTTGGTTCTTTTCCAATACTTTATATCCTGTTAGATGTATATCTAAGTATAAAAGATATGACAACTCATAAGTTTACTTAAGTGACGTCCCTTTTTGGAAAATCAATTCAAAGATGGGACCTCAAAGTGCTGGTCGGGGATAGTAATGAAAAGAGATGAGGAGGTGGCATGATTAGGCCTCACTGTTAAAAATTTGGGGGGAGATTTTACAGAAAAAGTCTAGGTATACTTAGTGCCAAGTAAAAGTCTGGTAAAATTACCATAGTCTGTAAAATTACAGAAGTATTGTAAAATCAATTCCCGATATAATACGGAATAATTTTCCCGACACATTTTATAACAATAGTATTTACAGATCTGTTCTGTAAATTTTTTGCAATACAAAGTATGGTAAAAATTTCAAGTTGAACCAAAGAAAGTGAACTGTGATTTCACTTGCTGCTTTGGTGGTCTGTCCCGTCTCCCTACTCTTCCACACTGTCCTTGGACCAATCGCTTATGGTATGTAAGTAAACGTCCAACTAACGAAGAATTACCTTACCCGATGTAGATTCGAACTTCGGACATCTGCATTGCGATCCTGTCACGGTGACCACTTGACCGCTGGGACGTGCTGAGGGGACTGCCCCAGGTTACCTGACTCATGCTAGACCGTGCACCCCGCCCGGCCGGGCCATTCCCAATGGTGGCTTGTCCTGTCCCTGCGCTCGCCAGTGCGCCGACTGGAGGATTATCTCCAGTGGCAGATTCCGGGAAAGGAAATAGCGCGCCTGGTGGGCAGTACCCATCGCACGAGCAGCGCACGCAAACAAGCTTCTGTATGCTGGGCTCTAGGCTCTCTCTATCTAGGAGGTGGAAAGAAAGTGACCCGACAATGTAAGGGAAGTCAAATAAAAAAACAGGTGGTCGTCTTGCTCTAATAGTGTGGTAGGTTCAGGGTAAACATTAGACAGGACACGTGGTCTAAGTGGATGAGAATGCGC